GCTTCAGGCTTCCCGCGACTCAAATGTTCGCGGGAAGCAGGGAGGGGCGGAGACTTTGGGGAGGGGGCGGAGTGGGGGCAGGGCGGGGCTGCGGGTGGGCCGGGGGCCCGTGGAGTGTCCTCCTTTGGGAGGCACAAAATATGGTAACCCTAAATTTGCGCACCACTGTCCGAGGCAGCTGATGGCAGAGCCAGGGAATGAGCCCACATCTCCCCGAGGACGTTCCCGAGATCCCACGGCAGCAGGGCCGTGATCACCAGTCTGCCCCGTACGACACCAGCCAGAGAACTGCCCCTACGTTATCCCTGGAGCAGATGTTACAGACAAGCAGCCAGTCCTGGTTCACAAACCGCCAGGGATGGCGAGTCCCCCATGGCCCTGGGGCAGATGTTCCAGCGGTTAATTCCCCTCACTGTAAAACTCTGCTGCTTACGTCCAGCGCCTGCCCACCGGCTGTGCCCGCTCCCGGCAGCCCCGTGAATCTTGGCAGGGACGTGCAGCTGTTATTGCTGGCGGGAGAATTCTCCAGCCCCAATGAACCCGCAGACCCAGGCTGGGCTGGGCCCGACACAGCAGGGGGGCTAGTACCCGGCCCACACTTCTCAAAAGGGCCCCTGGCTTTGGGTGATACCTCGACCCTCCTGGGGTGCGTGAACCAGAGCCAGCCCTAGGGCCCCTGGGGCTCTGCATGGCCGCCCTTCCGCCTCACTGCCCCCTGCAGACACCAGGGGACACAGTACAGCTGGGCCCCGGGTCCCCAGCCCCTCCCATACTCACCCCCAGCAGCCACTGCCCCCAGGAGGCACCAACAGACCCCCAGAGCGACAGCCAGGCCCATGGGTCCTGCCCTGGGGAGGGGTCTCACCCTCTGGCCTCGGGGAAGGAGCGGGCGAGCCGGCCGGCAGCCCCTGCAAACAGCCTGTGCACTTTGCTCATTGCGCGCCCAGGGAGTGCCAGGAACAAGGCCTGACCCTGGAGCAGGTAGCAGCCGTGTGCCAGGTGCGGCTCCCTGCGGGGCGTGACGTGTGCTGTGTGCCCAGCTAATCCTGGTACCTGACCGGCCAGCGTCCCCATGCGCCCCTGTGAGGGTTTAACCCCCGCGTCCCAGGGCAGCACGGCCTAGTGGCCGGAGTCCAGGGAATCAGCCCTCGTCACAGGGCAGTAGGACCTTGTTACTGACTCAGCGGGGGGGGGGGGGAGGGTGTCCTACCGAAATACGCTGAGGCTTACCGGGGCCGAGATACCAGTCCGTCACTGCCCCAGGGTCGCTTCCAACCAGCTCAGCCGTTGGGGTCTCCCATGGGTCCCCTGGTTCGCTGCGAGTCTCAGAGTCGGTTGCCTCCTCTGGTTCCTCCCGCAGTGGGGCTTCGCACTGGCCTGGAGAGGCCTCGGTTCCCGGTCGCTTCAGGAGTTCAGGCTGGTCCTCGGCCGGCGCTCTCCCTATAGGGGCTTCTCCTGCGGCCGCCCGCCCAGACTGAGCTGAGTTCCCTCTTTTTATACACCCTGAGCATTTGGAGCATGCCCAGTGCGAGCGAGGCGGGACTTCCGCCAACAGAGCTACTTGTCTGGCGCTGCCGGGGCTATACCGCCCCCCTCTTAAGAAGGATCCCCCGGGTTGGTCCACCCCCTCCCCCCTCTCCCCTTGCCTGGAGAAGAAATCCGCATTAGTGTGGGCCTTACCAGGGCGATGGAACACCCGGAAGTCGTAGGGTTGGAGGGAGAGGTACCACCGTATAATCCTGGGGTTCGCGTCCTTCATAGTGTGTATCCACCGTAGGGGGGCGTGAGCCGTGATCAACTTAAAGTTATTCCCCAGCAGGTAATAACGCAGGGAGTCGATGGCCCATTGTACCGCCAGAGCCTCTTTCTCTATTGTCGAATAATGTTGTTCCCGAGGGAACAGTTTACGACTCGGGTATAGCACTGGGTGTTCCTCCCTGTCTACTTCTTGGGATAGCCCCCAAGCCCGCTTCCAATGCGTCAGTTTGCAGTATAAATTCCTTCTGGAAGTCTGGGTGTCGTAGGATGGATTCCCGTGTGAGCCGTTCCTTTAGTGTTTCAAAGGCTTTCTCACATTGTTCGGAACACTGAACCGGTCGAGGCTGAGAGTTGTTGTGAGATGCTACCGGTGTGGTGCTTCTGCTTTCTCCTGTTGATATCACTCGGCTGC